CGGTGCTCAGCCGTTTTACAGAGCAACTCCGACATCTACTGTCCGCGAAAGCACGAAACAGTTTGCAGTCCTGCGTGAAGTAACAGCACTCCCGCGTCACACACTCCTCGCTCCTCACTCTTTGCAATGACCAACAGTGCTTAAGACGGTTGAAAGTTAACATAACGGTTGTCGGCGCATCACATGAATTTCAATATCGCTCACACGATGCACGAACTTCCACTTGAAATCTCATGAAGAACATAAATTCGCACATTCGACTTACCAATTAAGGTGTCTACTCGCAGACATCTTAGCCAGGATCAGAACCAATTCAGAGCGTCTGCCCTCGGACGCCTTATCAGAAGGCTTGGCACACACACACACACACACACGCACACACACACACACACACACACACACACACACACACACGCAGACACACACGCATACACACACGCACACACGCATACACACACACACACACACAACCAGCTACGCGTGCCGCCGTTAGCTAGTCCTATCACCTGCGGTGAGGGGAGCCTTGCTGACTCAGGTGATCGGTTTGCGTGGGGCGGACCCACGCGCGCCTATCGGCGCAGCCTGATTCGCCGAAGATTCACCGAGGAGACAGTGCTGGACGAGGCTGTTCCTCGAGTCGAGTTCTGTGCAGCCTTGCTACGAACGACGGATGAGCTATGCCGATCAGGAAGTGCGCGGCTTCCACTTGGCAGAGTCCCGGTCGGAGCTGGAGACCGGACGCATTGTGCATCTGCGAGTATAAGTGCTGCCGCTGACCACGGACTCAATAAGTACCGAGGACACGAAGTATGAAGAGTTGGCAAGTTGCTTCGATTTCGCCTATCTCTTGATTCGTTGCTGGCTTAGTTCCGTGCACAGGATCTTCCACATAAAAGCGATACTGGACGACATGACATTAAAGTGCCACATCATGTAAAGTCGTATTCATGATCTGCCTGACGTAACGGCGCACAGGCCCTCCCACGACAAATGGCGTTCTTCCTCTACATCGCTGGCTTGCGGTGCATCATCGGACGCAAGCTGGTACCTCAGCAATGAGCCGAGCCCGGGAGCGGGTGACATGCTTCTAATTTTCATTTGGGGAACGAAGCTAGTGCAGGCTGCCGTGATCTGTTTCTCGGTTCTGCTCACCCGCAAGATGCGGAACCGCTTGATGCACGCCATGAATGGCAATTCCGCGATGCTTGGTGGCAATATGGCCTTGGCACTGTTGTTTGTCGCAGGTAGTAGGAGTAGCAGCAGTAGTAGCAGTAGTAATCATAGTAGTAGTAGTAGTAGTAGTAGTAGTAGTAGTAGTAGTAGCAGTAGCAGTAGCAGTAGCAGTAGCAGTAATAGTAGTAGCAGCAGTAGTAGTAGTAGTAGTAGTAGTAGTAGTAACACTGGTAGTGGTGGCAGCCGTCGTTGTACTGCTGGTAGTAGTAGCAGTGGTAGCAGCAGCAGTAATAGAAATAATAGTAGTAGTGGTAGTAGTAGTAGTAGTTGTTGTTGTTGTCGTAGTAGTATTAGTAGAGGTAGTAGTCACTGTAATGGTAGTAACAGTAGTAGTTGCAGTAGCAGCAATGTGTATGATAGCTGCGGGCATCCGGGTGGGTCTACGCAATGTTGCCTGACGCATAGCTTGACGTGTAGAGGCTCCCACATCCCACAAGTAGTAAAGAGCTATCCTCTAGGCCTTCCTTGGAACCTGAGGGGATCGGCCGGCGCATCTTCCAGAATCTTCGCGCGCGGGGCGCTTGTTGTGGTCTGGATGTCTATCATCGGACCGTTGAGCCGTTGCCATTCCTGGTTCGGGGATTCGGGATCGGGTCATCTGGTCGGGCGGGGTGCGTGAGTTCATGTTCGGATACGTAGGTCAGACGCCTTGGTTGTGGAGTTGGATCTGGAAGCCGGCGAGGTGATCGGGAACAACCCGTGAGATTCTCGGTATCTCTTGCAATTAGGACTTCGCTGCTTAGGTTGGTTGAAAGGATTGGGTACCTGAATGATGCGTCCCTGTTTTCTGCGTGATGCGAGGGGGGAGCCTCGACACCCGCGTGACGGGCAAGGGCGCCCGTGCGGAGCCCGGTAACATGTGCGACTGCAGAGGTATCAATTGATGAGCCTCCACTTTCTTTGTGACCAGGGACCGACCTCGGGCAGCACCAGAGCCTGTGCGGCCCCGCTGCACGAGCCGTATGAAGTCCTGCATTTGTGTCGCGTCAGGCGTGTGCCTGTGTTGTGTGTTGTGTGTTGCGTGTGGTATGCGGTGTATTGTGTGTCGTGTGTTGTGTACAGCATGTTATGTGTTGTGTATTGCATGTTGTGTGTTGAGCATTGCGTGTTGTGTGTTGTGTGTTGCGTGACGAGTACTATGTGTTGTGTGCTGTGCGTGTTGTCGATGTGTGTTCTATGTGTTGTGTGTGTGTTCTGTGTTGGGGCACCTTCTGTGTGACTATAGGGGGCGGCCTCGACGCCGGCGTGGCGGGCAAGGACACCCGTGCGGAGCCCGGTAATATGTGCAACTGCAGAGGTATCAATTGATGAGCCTCCCCTTTCTTTGTGACAGGGTCCGCACCTGAGCCCGTGAGGCCCCGCTGCACGAGCCGTAAGAAGTCCTGCAGTTGTGTCGCGTCAGGCGTGTACGTGTGCTATGTGTTGTGTGTTGCTTGTGGTGTGTGGTTTGTTGTGTGTTGTGTAATGCATGATATATGTTGTGTACTGCATGTTGTCTGTTGAGCATTGCGTGTTGTGTGTCGTGTGCTGTGTGACGAGTACTAGGTGCTGTGTGTTGTGTGTGTTGTCGGTGTGTGTTCTATGTGTCCTGTGTGTGCGTTGTGTGTTGCGTGTTGTATGTTGTGTGTTGTGTGATGTGTGATGTGCGTGCGTGTGTGTTCTGTGTGTTGTGTGTGTTGTGTGTTGTATGTCGTGGCTTGTATGTTCTGTGTCGTGTGTTGTGTGCAAGTCCAAGTGTCTTGACGGAGTTATTGCAGCTATGCATGGTCGTATACATATGTGGGCTGTCTCGTAGCTTTCGTGGCCACGTGCCCGCTTTGCGGCGTCTCGGGGGGACCGTCGTGATGCCGTTGACATGACAACATGTCGCCAGGTCGTCGGTGCATCTCCTGCCCGAGTGCATCGATGAACTGGTTCAGGCCCCGGACGCTGGGGCAGCGCCCGTGGTCGATGATACCGTCACCCTGGCGAGGCAGGAGAACTAAAACGGGAACCGTCCCCTGTTCAGATGGAGAGCTGCACGGTGCATGATTCTGCATTTGATGGATCCTTGGCTGTGATGCCTAATGGTGCTGGTGTTAGATCTCTAGTTGCATATACGTCTCGGACTCAGTCTGGATGCATGCTGTCCTAGACTTCCACTCTTGCATATCTCCGGTCTTTTCATTTGTTGAAGCAATACGGACCGTGCTTGTGACTGCATTACAGGAAGCTCGAATCCCTGAAGCTGTACACGCTGAACCTGGTTCTGCATGGCTGGATGCCCAATCTCTACGGCGTCTGGTCCTGAGCATCATAAATTCTGACAGGGCTCGCTGGAGGGGTCCGTGTCGTTAAAGCTTTGGCCCTGATCCTCGAGCGACGGTGGAACGCTATCGGATGATGCCCGCCGACGAGCAGTTGGCCGTACTGGATCACTTTCGGCGGCCTGTGTACAAGTACGAGCAACCAACCAAGGACTGCGTCTGGTGCATGACATCTACGGCTCGGTTCTCCGTCGAGTGCTGTGCGCCTGCCTGCAGGTCCAAGGCCGTGTGGTTCCTTTGGACTCGGCGTGGCCGCCCGACCAGCCCTTTCAAGCGGGCTCTGACACCGAGGAGTCCAACTTGGCGTGCTCCTCAGCTCACTTCCGCCTAAAATGCCCGTGCCTGTTACAAAAACCGCTTTCTTCAGCATCCATCAAACTTTCGAGGACTAGGATCAGGGTGTCCCGCGACAACAACACCTGTAGATTGCTTGAGCTTGCCGAGGCCGCGGAATTATCGCAGGCCAGATGATCACTGTACCTAAACCGTCTCGCAGCCTAACAGGCCAAACGTTTCGCTTGTGAGTCGCACACTGTCGCTCTACGCCGCAGTGTGGCTTCCTGCCACAATCGTTGCCGGACAGGACGACGGGCTTGGAGTCGGCGACGTGGTGCGGGGGGGGAGGGAAAAGGGGGCAGAGGCTGTAGCTTGAGGGATGATGCATCGGTCCGCAGAGTGTCCTTGTTGAGGAGTTCGAGTCCTGCAGTGGCGGAGAGGCCTCAGTCGTTGCTCCTTGTGCATTGCGCTTGCTGATGCTCAAGTAAGATTTGTTGAGCGGAAGAACAATACGATGCGATAAACCAAAACGCTGTGTCACAAGGCTGTGTCTTGTAATGTTTCTGCTGTGAAATATGGAGGTGTCCGACGATGACGCCCAGCCGGCGCGCCCTCCCCCGCAACCTCAGGTCCGTGCGTTGCGTAAGTATAAAGCAAACCCGTGGTGCATGGGTAGTGCAACAGTGTATGTGTGTGTGTATGCGTGTGTGTGTGTGTGTGTCGGGATCGCACGATGCGAGGCCCGACTCCCACGTGGAGTTGATAGAGCCACTGCCCGAAGCAACGCCTTGCTCGCGGACAGAGAGGCCGTGAGTGGTATGGTATGCTTCGGCCGGCCTCTGCCGGCGGTATCCTTGCAGGTGGCTGTGGCGGTGAGCATTGGCAACGAAGATGGCAGCCAGCTTGCCCGCGAGCTTGGGGCCTGTGTCTACTCCGTTTATTTCGGAGTGACCAGGCCCAAGCCGGGCATTCTGCACCGGTGTGGGTCGAGCCGTTCCTTGGCGCATGCTGGCAGGGAATACCAGGGGTAGAGGAAAGGTCCATAACAAAGGGGGGAGGGGGAGGAGGAGCGGAACTCGTTTGGCACGGGATGCAATCCGGACATCTTTGCACGTTCAGGCTCGCAAAGGAAGTTGAGCTGCGTTCGTGTTCCGTAGCGTTGCAATGGTCTTCCGTCTCGGCTAGGCTGGCCAGCCCTCCTGACCGCTTTGATGGGTCGGGAGGACGGGCATGTCTACTACTCCACGGAGCCCATCCTGAAGTCACCGACTGCGGATTGGGTCATCCGCTGCGTGGAAAGCATGGAGCAAGCGTACGCGCGGCTCCAGCTCCTGCTCACGCCTTCCTTTTTTAAGGCTCGTGCTTCGGGGTCATGTTCGATTGCTATTGATTTGGCCGGCGCCTGAAACAGGCATGGGACCGAAGATTTAAGATCGGGTTCCTGTCGGAAGCGAGCACAACAAACGAGGCCGGGCAGAAAGGTAAGGTACTGTATGAACATTTGTGCACCTTCAGCAGGTGGGCGTCGACTACCGAAATGGGCAATCGGAAATCGGCCCCGTCGCAGCTCAGTACTACGGCATGTTCAGATCCAACAGGCGGATGTGGCAAGTCAAACGCTGACGACTTGCGTGCTACGTCGTCTGTGTGTGTAGGCCAGGCGGCTCACACACCCTGGCGGCCGCAATACAGTTCCGCGGTGTGTTTTACTGCGATGAAACGGGCGAGTCCTTCCTGGCAGGGCCCCTAGCCTTGTGATGAATGCATGCACACCACACACATACGACGCACGCACACACACACACCCACACACACACACCCACACACACACACACACACGACGCACACGGACACACTGAAGAAGTATACTCACTCGTGGATGGAGTGTCTCAGATGGAAAGTTACACAACATGAGCTACGATGATGTTGGGAATGGTGATGATAACGGGAGATGGGATGAAGATTTTGTTGCCAAGTATGCCAGACCGAAGGAATAGATACGACAGCGATGAAAAGACTGATATGATCCGTCAGGGGTAAAGTTGCAAATCCCTTGCTACGCCGGACGAGGAACGACATAACACGAAATGAAATGCAAAATGAACGCAAACGGGCGCCTTGCCAGCTGCCCATGACGGGGGCCAGGCGCAGGCGATGCAGGTACGTTTACTTAGGATGCAGGGGAGAGCTTCGATCGTTGGACGGAGCTCCCCGGCAGCCACTCCGTCCGCCTGCGAAAAGATGGGTGGTGAGCCCCGAGAGGAGTACACACCCACCCACACATCCACACACGTATACACACAGACACACAGACACACGCACACACCCATGCGCAGACCTGCACATGTCCATATCTGCATGCCAACACCGAATCCACGTCAGGCGAAGGGTATGATGGTCGTCAATGACACTCTCGGCGATCGCATGGTGCTATCCGAGAGCTGTTGCAAGGTCCAGGCTCCAGGCGGGTCCATGTGACGGTGAGCTGGGCGTGCTTCTGTCGATGGTGTGCTCGGATCAGGAGCTTTTCCAGGCCTCGACTATGGAATGCACGTGGTCAAGATGACCGATCGCACGCGGAAGCCAGCGAGTCCGCAGCTTACGGTCGTGGAGATGCCACGTAGGTGATTGTGCAGTTCGTACTGGTTTGATGTCGTCTGGTGTGTGGAGATCACCGCTTGGTGTCCTCGGAGTTGTAATCGGCAGCCCATTCTCCGGTAGCGGCACAAATCGAGCACTGCCTGTTTGTAGCCCGTGTTGTGTTTGAGTGCTCTGACTGATCGGTGGCCTCTGTCGCCCAGAACTGACTCCCAGCTTGGTGGGAGTGCTGCGCTTGCGCTGCCACGCTATCCCCGACCGGTTGAACCGGAACAAGCAGCTGAAGGAGCTGAGCGAGCTCATCGCGGAAGCGTCGCGCGGTGGCAGTAGGTCAACACTGGGAGTGTTGTCGGAACACCGGTCGGAAGGGCAGGGAGAAGAGTTTGTCTATGGGCTGTGTGCAACGTAGGAAAGCTCACACGACGCAGACGCTGCCTGCACGAGCGTGGAAGTACGAAACCAGGACCGTGGCGGTGTGATGCAGTTGTTGGCCCTCGTGCGATGACGGTGTATATAAGGATAATGCTCGTAATGGTGTCAGCGCTGGCGGAGGAGGCACTCGGACGATGTCCACAACGTGTTCTTGCCAGGGGAGGAACACGATTTCTGGCGTACAGCCAGAACGCCGGTTTCCAAGATCGTCTTGTCGGCTGGCGGCGAGGACGGGAGGTTCCTGCAACAGCTATGCCAATGCGGCAGACTGTCGGGACGTGTACAACCGGTCTCCTAGACTTCTCGCCGTCAGGATGAACCGGTCACTCCACTCCTTGAACTACAACAAGAGCGAACGGAGGCCGCACTTAATAACGGCTCAGAGTCCACGGGCTGTTCGCTGACTGTGTCGCCCAGGCCTGCCCAGAAAGTATTCTTCGCGGCACGCGCTCTGCCACTGCGCTGGGCCTGACTGCTGTCTGTGCATCCTACGAGAAGCACTTAGCGAAGGGCTCCTTGTGCATGTCCTTTGCTCAGTGTGTGACGGTACGGCTTGTTGGTACTATAACCGCGGAACAAGAATATCGGCAGCGCATTGCAGGCCTGGCCACTCGGGTGCTGTCAAAGCGATGAGTGATCCCTACGATCGTCTGGAAGACAATCACTGCTATATTGTCTTCAACGGCCGCATCTACACGGGCGAAGTGGCAGTGCTCTGGACATGTATTAACGAGCCGTGTCTTCCGTCGCAGCCGGCACACATGCCCGCTTAGATTTTGCTTGTTCGGGTGAAACGCTTTGCACGATCCAGGTGTGGCGCTACCCTTCCCATACGGTCGTGGATGCCCAGCTCATGACGGCAGATATGCCACCCGCAGGCCTGCTCGCACTGAGGGAGAAGTCGAAATACTCTTGCATCACGGCACGCCAGCTCGTTTGCGGAGTCCAACAGTTGAGGCGAGGAGTGGCCGGAGTCGAGGGAGAGAGAGAGAGAGAGAGAGAGAGAGAGAGAGAGAGAGTGCGAGAAAGGGAAAGACTCAGACAGGGAGAGAGAGGGAGTGAGATGGAGAGAGATAGAGAGAGAGAGATAGACAGAGATAGGGAGAGAGAGAGAGAGAGTGAGTGAGAAAGAAAGCGAGAAGAGAAAGAGAAACAGGGAGAGGGAGAGAGAGAGAGACAGGGGGAGAGAGAGAGAGAGAGGGAGGGGGAGAGGGAGAGGGAGAGATGATATCTCCGCGGGCGGCGAGTTCCATTGCTCGCTGCGTCCCGCTGTTCGCTGTTTGTGAGGTATGACCCACGACAACACTATCGTCTATTCCTGCCGTGGTCGTGTGAACGAGGACTCCGGCTGAGGCGTCTGTGGAGGATCTGCCATGCCCGAAGCACCAGCATGATCCGAAGACTTCACATAGCTGATAGCAACCTGCAACTGCTAGTCATGCGAACCTGAACAGGGATCTTCAAGCCCGTTACAATCGCATTCCGCAGTCGACGGGAACATGCAGTCGCGAAACGATTCGGAGGGTTCGGATGTTAGAGCAGTGACCCGGGAGCCGGAGCACACACTCTGTCTGAGCATGCCAGATAGTTGACCCTATCCCCGAATCACGAAAACCTGTAATCGGACGAAGCACGGAGCTGCAACAGACAACGAAATATGTTTAGTACCACTAGTTCATTATCGCTGCATAACGTGCTTTGTCAGAAAGGGGGGGGCTTTGTGTGTGGGGGATACATGACAGTAGCCTTCGTTCGACCACGAAAGGCACCAACCGTAGACGTGGAGCACAAAGCCGCTTCGACATATCCAGCCGTCGACGACGTTCATCAAACACTAGAGAACGCAAGCAATGAGGTCCGCTGACAATCCTGCCTCGGACTCGTTGGGTAGCTGGTCGTAAGCTTGATACCCCAAAATGCCCGCTCCGAAAACCGGAGTAACACATCTGCGTTAAGCACCTCGAAAAGCGAGCGGTAGGCTGGAGCGATGACAACCTGACCGGAAAGGCGGTGCAAACACCCGACTTAATGCGAATGACGCAGTCGACCGTGGCCTGTCGGACAGTGGAGGGGATGGCGCGAAACCAACCTGCTCCGCTGATGGTGCGCTCTAGCAGCAGCAGTCTAATCAATGATGCTTGTTCCGTTACAGGTCTGATTACTTCGTGCCGCAAGGATATGGCCGGGGGCGATCTCGACGGCGACGACGTGTTCTTCGCGTTCTGGAAACGACTTCTCCGCCTGCTCCGGGAGACAAAGGACCCTGGAGCGTGCCATCGAAGGAATGAGAGTGGGGAGGGGGGTAGCGGGTAGTCCTCCCCGTTGCGCCTGAATGCCCCTGTTACTGACTCCAGGACGCCGTGGCACTGATCCCTATCAGAGACATTGAGACTGAAGTGTTACAGGGACTGGACAAGCCCGTCACGCCATTCGAAGCAACCGACCGCGAGACGCGAAGTGGCTTGCCCGGTCTCCTTAGAGTTCTTGGTGCAAGTTCGGCTCTTTGCGATTATTCATCTCGTGTTGTAGCGAAGGTATTGAGCTGGCCAAGTACACCAGCGAACTCCCCACTACACCCGTCCGCGGTATCGCGGGAATCCTGTCCGAGAGGGCGGTCGCGATCGCATTGAGTGCAGATGAAGGCTCGCCTAGGAGCGACAATTGCATACATTGAGGAGGGACTAGTCGTGCGAAAGCAAATTAGGGTAGCGAAAGCCGACCGGACGATGCATGTAAACCAATACCTGCCAATGTTTGCGCCTTGTGGGTATCAGACACGTTGCGACAACCTGCTGATTCTGGCGGCATGGCCTCCTGACTCGGTGTGCAGGCAGAGGAGAGAAGTTCCAAAACGCTCTCCGAGCCAACTGCCTGGCGCACAATGTGCTGTGGTTGCACCGATACTGGGTAGCGCCGACACCAGCTACCTAGTGCAATAGCGCATGCGGTTTGTTGTCAGGACCACGAGGGGAATAGCTCCTCCAACCGCACTGAGGCCATGAACGCACCCAAGAAGCACAAGACGCTGGACGTCGCCCGTCGCTGCCGCAAGCTGGCGAAGGAGCTGAACATTGGCAAGCGTGCAGCCAGGACGGCTGGACGTAGCTTGGATGGGACGGGGTGCCTGAATTCCTTATATGCGTTTCTGTGACTGTATGTGTGTGTGCGTGCGTGAGTGTGTGTCGTGCGCGTGTGAGAGAGTGTGAGAGAGTGTGAGTGTGTGTGTGTGTGTGCATGCGCGATCCGCAGCCCGGTTGAATGAGTTCAGGATCTCGGATGTTCTCGCCCAAGAGATGCGGCTGGACGTGCCGGCCCTCGAGAACTG